ATCAGCATTCAGCATTTCCAAAGTCCTTTGTACATGACAGATACTTCTGACATGTAATTGCACTCTTAACAATGTCTTTGATTTGCAAAGAAGAAAAAGCAATTTCTCGAAAAAATAGGAATCTTCTCATGAAGACTTGATTTCGATATGACACAACATCCCTCTTGCGTGATAATGGATGCTACATCAACCTTGATGCTGATTTCCAAATGCAGGGAATAGCTGCTTCTCATAACTCTCCAGTGTTTGTAGACCTGTTCTGAGAGACGGCCAGGAGAGGGCGACAGAGGGACTTATGAAGAGCAGGTACCAAGTCATTTAAACAAATGATCTTGGAGTATTTTAGTAGATTTCTTAATCAAAGCAAAACATAATTTGTTAATTTTCTTTTTCATAGTTGACACCAAGTTTTGCTTGCTTAGTGCTCTTCCTGAGGCATCTCCTCCATCTCCTCGGTCTCAACGTCGCCCTCTATCTGCATGGAAGTGCTAGGCTCTGAAGGCTGCTCTTCCTCCTCCATGACCTCCACGTTCTGGGTTTGTTCTGCTTCCTGCTCTTCCTCTGGATGTCCCATGTAATCTGGGTCACTCCGTGCTACCTCATCCTCTGTTTGTTCACAGTCCTTGTCCTTCTCTTCAGCTTCATTCAGACTTGCTGGCTGTCCATGTTCAACAACGTGGTCCCCATTTACTTTTGGGCCATAGAGTTCACATGGGGACTGAACACCCCCGATGGCTCCTATTTCCTCTCCAGTTGACCTTCTGTGCTGTCTTGTGGGTGGGCGTCTTTTGAATGATAATCTTGCACGAGTCTGTGTGGAAACAACAGTTTAGCATAACAAAAACTTTTGATAACTTTGACACTGCTAGGAATCTATATTCAACATCAATGTATTTATATCATAAAATTATTTCTGTCAGTGGCACCATATGCGTGAGAGCGCCGCACAAAATGGTACCTAGGGACTCTAACTAGGCTAAGGGGATTACATCTTCAATCCCCCATCGCAGCAGCACTCATGCACTACAGGGGCATCTTGGTCCGGCTTATCCAAGGACTGCTTGAAGACAAGATGCAGAGCACACGCTGAGAAATACGTCAACGAGGAATGGGACCATGTGTCCGGTTGTGACGACACCTCTGTCGGTGGATAGCGTGAGAAGCACATAAGGGTCCTAAATATGGCAGCAGCTTGTGTTTTTCATTTAATGGCCCAGGAGTTTCAATTTGCACCAAAAAAAAAAAAAATTAGACTACTACCAACTCAAAACAAAGCTTAGAAATGATGATATATGGTGCTCTTCAACACGACACATATCACAACAATTCAAGTGCATTATTAGGAAACGTTGTAACAGATAGCTCAGATCTATTCATCCTGTTTACCTTGTTGAAGTTGGGCAGCGGGATGCCTTCAGGAGGGCTGTCGAAGCTGATGGGATCCTCCTCTTCACTGGACAGATGTGAGGTCAGCGGGCTGTAGGGGACAACGGGGGACAACGGGGTGGGCTGCAGCCTCACCTCAGGACTCTTGGGTGAAGGCAGCAGAGCAGTGGGCGACAGGGCAAGATTTGCCTACGAGAAAAAGAAGATCCTGAAGCATGGACACTATACTCTCTTTAGAACATTGTTTTTTAATAAGACTAAATTGTAAAACAGTGTAATGTAAATTTAAACGTCACTTTTCAAAGTCACATGTTTTTAGAGAGCGAGCCATACATTCTACAATATAGTAATTCTATTTTTGAAATATAACAAATAAGTAAAGGGAATATTAATCCATGCCATGTTAATTCAAACATGGATATATTATTAAAATATATTAATTACACCTTAAAATGTCTAGCTTTTTGTTAAAAAAAAAACTAGTAAACGGATGTGCAAATAGGACTTTGCTCAGCTTGCACCTGTCACCATCCTATTTTGTAAACTCACCTGCTCTACATACATCCTGTAATTCTCTTTTAGGCGTTACAAACAACACCTGTCATATTCACACTAAAAACTAAAGTACATAAGAAATCAAATTAGTCTCCAAAACATTGTTTAAATTTAGATTAGAGTATCCTACCTCCACTGGGGAGAAGAGGAAGAGGGAGAAGCGGCAGCCCTTTTGTCCCATGGCTGCCCACCGTGTGAATTGCTAACTAATGGAACGATGGTGGTGGAAAAGGAAAGAGAAGTTGGAGCCTCACTAGAGGCGGGGTGGCCTGTGATCCCATTAGCTCATTTATCTGAGCCGATTGTGGCATCCAGGACAAACCCTTCCTCTTTTCTCAGCATGCGATGAGCTCAGGCACCCGTGTCAACTGAACAGTGGGGGGCAGTAATGCTTTACATTATCAAAGTGTCCCGATTATACATACGCTTGACTACTTCTGCCTGTATATTACATCCTATATAATAACATGTAAGACTGAGTCTTGGTGAGAAATTGTTTGGTTCCTATTTCTCTCGCAAAATATTTAAATGTAAGATGCACCTACCTGAAGTTTCTCAATAATGGAGGAGTTCTTGGTCTTGACATTAAAGGGATTTGATGAGATGACAGCTTTCTGCAAGAAACCAGTCAGACAAATAATGAAAAGACAAAAATCACAAAAACATCAGAACCCCCCTTTTAAACACGGAAAGCTCACCCTGACTAGCAAGCGCATTCACCACATTAAGTCTGAATATTATAGATTAAATTGAATATTATAGATTTAATTAATCAACTATTACATTACATGCTTGTTATGTATATATTGTTGCACTACTACTGTGTCTTGAGCTCTGGTTTGTGTGAAAGAAAGATAGGTTGTTGTAGTTTGAACGAGAGCAGCACTAACCCACTGAGGCTCTGACTCAGATCAGGGGAGCACCGGTTCAATTCCACCTTGACAGCCACTGCATGTCCCCGTGTCCTTGGGCAAGACACTTCAACCCAAACTGATCCAATGGGGATTGCCCATAGTATTGAGGGAATAGTTTTGGGTAAAAGTGTCTAACACAAGTAACAATGTAATGTGAACAAACACCTTCCCAGTGAAGACCAAATGGATAAATGGTCGATTTTGCCACAATACACTGTCTACTGTTGAAATATAATCACAACCTCTTAGATCCCATGCAATTTGCTTATCAGGCCTCTAGAGGGGTGGAAGATGCTATCGCAACCCTCTTGCATCTTCTGCACACTCACCTCGAGACGCCAAAAGCCCATGTAAAGATTCTATTTGCCGACTTCTCATCGGCTTTTAACACCATTAAGCCAAGTATTTTAGCAAATATTTTAACTGAAGAATTCTCACTTGAACCTGGTCTGATCTCCTGGATCGTTGACTTCCTCAGCTGTAGATCTCAGCAGGTCAAAATAGGCATGGCACTTGCTGACACAATAACTACCTGGATAGGCTCACCCCAGGGATGTGTCTTATCCTCTCTTTTATTTATTTTATACACCAACTCCTGCATCAGCACTTTTCCCAACAGGCACGTATGCAGATGATACGGCCCTGGTCAGCCTCCTATTTGATGAGGAAGAGGAGCATGGGCCTGTCCTTGACTTCTTTATTAACTGGTGTGAGAAGTCAAACCTGCTTCTAAACACCTCAAAAACAAAGGAGATGGAAATTGATTTTAGAATAGCACAATCGCCCAACCCTACTCTTTTATTAAATAGCGAGCCCATTCAATGTGTCACTGAGTACAAGTATCTTGGTGTCGTGCTTGACCACAAGCTCAGATGGGATGTTTGGTCTGAGAAAATAAATGCTAAGTCTCAACAAAGAATGTTTTTTTTACGTAAATGATTGTCTTTTAATGTCGGCAACAGAATGGTTAAGATGTTTTATCATGCTTTTATCGAAAGTGTGCTCTCCTTCGGCATTATGTGCTGGTTCGGGAGGGCCACTGAGGCACAGAAAAAGTCAGTCAGGAGGGCCATAACATTGTCCAGTAAATTGACAGGAATCTCATTTTCTAGTCTAGAAAGCTTATACAGTACAAGGACTGAGTTTTAAAAATGGCACACAATATTGTGAGTGACCTGAGGCACCCACTTGCCTCTTATTTTGAACTGTTGCCATCCGGGCGGAGATATCGTGCCCCTCT